AGGCCAACATTTTTCTGGTCATTAGTCGAATAAGTTGTTCTTGCATGCACTGCACACCACGAAGCCTTTGCTGGGGGGAAGCAAGGGAGTGGAGTGCATGGGGAGTACGTACGTTTCGTTTTTTGTGTTGCTCAGGTCTCACTGATAGCTCGTTTCGGTGAAAATTCAGTTTGTGGGTGGTGGGAAGGGGTCAGACTACCCACACTTTTCCAACATTGAGCTCTAGAACACGAAGTATTAGGAATAGCAGGCGAAGTGTGCTTGGGAAGGAATTTCCGATGAAATATAGTTTTTTTTTAACCTGAGCCTTGGTAAGGAAGTAGGGTGGTTGATTCAACTGGCTGTTCTATTTTTACCTCATACCAGCTTCGTGCAGGTTGGTCATCTCACCCACCCGGTGCTCCTTGTCTTTTAAGGTCGAGGTTAAAACTAACTAACGCTGCAGTCGTGCTCGCCTTTTACGAGAAAGTAACAAAAAAGGGTAAGCAGCAGAGCAGGGGTATAAATATCCTTAAGGCGCTTCTAGTGGAACCATACTACTTTTAAGGTCAAAGGAAAGGTATTTAAGATTTCGGGAGTGGTTCCTTTCTTCTGCTACATTTTCCAAGTACCGCCTTCATGTTTGTATTGTATAAGTCTGAACGTTTCTTCACGTTAGACTCTCCCTCAAACTCGTTCTACTCCGTTTGAGTGAAATTCGAGGTTTTATCGGCTTGAATTGCTGCATTAATAAGTAGAGTTTAATAGGCAAAGCAGAAAGGACAACAGTGTCGAAAAGTTGAGCGCGGAGCCGGACGTTCTTGGTCTTCTTCACGACTCCCTCGATGCTGCGCGTCGCGTTTCCTACTGATCAGCTCCAGAACCAGGTCGTTTATCATGTTGACTCCCTGACCTATACACACGTAGCTAAAGTATTCAAGGTGTTCGTTCCGTTTAGGTAAAAGAAGCATCAGGAACCGTTTTTCATAAACATCGTCTTCGTTAGGTTCAGTTGTGAGCCGATCTTTCCACAAGCATATCATGTCAGCATAGCATGTCAAATTCGGCCAGCATTCGTTGCTCGATGTTCGTTGTTAAGGGCACGATGTTGTCGACAAAGCGGAGGTGATGCAGATAGCGGCCGTCAACCTTCACCCCTTTGCCTTCACGATGTTCTCGAGAGCGGCACTAAAAAGTTTAGGCGAGATGGTTCCGCTATGTCGAACCGTCCCTTCACGTTGATGATGACTTCTTGACATCCTTATGTTTTAATTAGGAACACCTTGGTTAACCAGGGCAATTACCGCTTCTGTCTCGAAAGTATCAAAGGCGTCCTTCAATTCGATGAATTTAATAAATAACGGCATTCTGCACTCTTGCGATACTTCAATGAGCCTTGTGAGAGTGTGGATACGAACCTTCTCTGAAACCCTGCTTGCTTGCATGGTCGTCCTTCATCTAATATTCTGCCAATCGTGTTCAGGATGACGCGGGTGAAAAGCATAAAGATTAGAGATAGCAAGCAGATTGGGCGATATTTGCCTATGTCGTCTGAATCCCCCTTCTTATGCAACAACACAGTTTTGCTAGTTTTCCACGACGTGGGCACTGTGCATTCCGAAAGACACCGCGTGAAGAGCCTAGCCATTGTTCCGACGAAACTGGTGGGAAACTTTCTAGATGTTCTGTTCTGCTCTTAACAGGACCGGACGTGGTTCCGATAAGAGCAGTTCGTTCGTTCGGGCATTCTTCGCCGACGTAATGACATGTCGAAATTCGAAAGGGAGAACCAAAGGAGCAATATGTATATTCGACTTGCCTAAGACGATATACATATAGGCAGTAGATCGAAGAGATCCAAGTAGAAGTCGTATATGGCCTTCTCCATTGCCCTTCGAAATGTGGTAACTGTTCCGTCACGACGAAAGACGGTCATCTTGGGCTTAAGGTTGACGGAGCTCGGTCGGGCTTAGCGGAGAGTGCTGCTCTTCACTCTTTCAGATCTTCCCTTCTCTGCATAGCATCGCAAGTTCGAACGTTGCCTGCAGCTCACGCGGTTCCACGTTATCGTATCAGCTCGAGAGTCTGCGAAGAGAGTTGACCCTTGGCTACTTGTAAACTCTCTGCTTTTTTCTTAGCACTGGCGTGAGGATGTTCGATGTGGTTGTATCCATTATCGATGTTGTTGATAACGGAATCTTCCCATTCACTCGCAAAGGAAGTGGTCCCAGTTGATGAAGGTCTTCGAGCTTCGTTTCTCAAACTTCACAGTTCTCTATCCCTCACTGAGAAAAATAATCTAGCGCCGGGGAAACCATAGTCCGATCACGTGTAGAACTTCGGAACAACAGCGACGTCGGTCAGGCAAAACCGTCGATTGGAAATGATGTGATCAAATTCATGATGGAACTCTTGGAAATGTTGTGACCAAATTCATTATGGAACTGTCCACTAGGTGACTCCCATCCCAATTGCAAGTTGGAGGGCTTCTGAAACTGCGAGTTACAATGGATAGTGTGGGTCGACATGATAAAATGGGACAGTCTTCACTCTGTTCATTCCATTCCGTGAGTTCCTATATGGAGCTCTTCAGCCGTTCTTCTGAGACCAAACTTGGCCTGAAAATCACCTCACACGACCTAACAGAAAGTGCGGTCTTCTCTGTAGAGCTTCTCCACATGAGCCATTCCAGATCCATATAAAACCCTTCCAACTCCTCTTCTTCGTAGCTTGATCTTTGTGCGTAGGCAGCAACATTGTTAGAGCTGGGAATGTGCCACATCTTCTTATTCGCAAACGTCCGATTCTGTCAGGCTTTCGTATGAATCGACGTTTATTGCCAAGTGCGTGTTGACGGGGACACCTACCCGCCGACGCCTCAACAGTCGCATGTTCCAAGGAAAAGTTCTTTTCAAGTCTCAAATACAGCGTGCAGAGAGCGATGCCATCTTGTCTCGGTCAGTCTGATGACGTCGTACTTGCTCCCTAGCTTGATCATCAGTTCATCTATACACTCTTCCGATACGAGCTCGCGTTGAAGGTACAGACCATCATTTTAGTCCCCCTCCTTTTGGGCAGCCTGTTTTGACCTTGAGATTTTAGCAGCCTCTCCCGAGTGGTCCTACCCATCACTGCCGTATTGGGGCTAGCTCATGTTCAGGAGAATGAGGCTGATTTATATTAGTTTTTGGCGAATGGGTACCCAACGAGTGGCTTGCCAGGCTCTCACGTGAGAAGTGGGCTGTTTCCGGCTGCTAGCCAGGCTATCCTGAAGTGGACGAGGGGCTTTTGTCGTTGAGGGCGGACCCGAACCGTCTCCCAGATACCTACCCCTCACTCGAATGCAGGCTGTTCAGGATAGCAACTACATCTGCAGACTCTCCACATACATATGCGTGGATGCACCTTCGAGTACAGAAGGTATATCGGCCAGCACAGCAGAATCAAGAAGTCCATCCCCTGGAACCACTTTCGTCTCTGGGCAAGAACTGGTGACTTTTGCTTGGCGACGTACTCTCCCTCGATCTGGGGACCCCCTTCGTAGCTCGTCGCTAGCCGGTTGGGATCCTTCAGTGAGAGAACACCCAGTGAAGGAGATCCGTACAAATTCCGAAAGAATCCCGGAATTACAGTGCCTGAAGAAGCGAATGAAAAGGCCGGACCAATTTGGGATGATTGGGGCCTGAGCAAGAGTAACGGAGCGCATGCGAGCTCAGATTAAACTCACTGAGGGGCAGAAGATGCCCAAAATGGGCATTGCAAAGAGAAAAACGTACCATTTGGCTACCATTCGGCAAAAAACTAAAGCCCAGAGTGGAGAAAAGGGGCAAAGGAATAGGAATGGGCCAACAAATCAAACAAGAAGACTTATCACAGCCGAGGTGAAGAAAAATCACCTCTGTTTGATGCGTTTTCGGCAGCTAAGAATGCTGGAAGTTTATTGAGCGAGCAGACCTAAGTGTGAGGCGACTTCGATGAGGATCACATCCAGAGGTTAGTCAAAAGGATGAATGGCTTGGACGAGTTGCCTGACAGGAGATAACGCGCCCCAATGAAAGTGTGACTGCGTGGAGCCGCGCGAATCCCCATCGCCTTCCGCTTCGAAGGGCTGCGTTAAGCGACGTACACTCTACTAACTGAACACTTTAGCTCAAAACTGTTAAGGAGGGAAACTCATCTAAGTAGTCCTCTGGGGTCTCAGCATGCTCATTCACATCGTGTTGAGTATCCTCTAGTAATACCCGTGTGGCTCTGTTTGATAATTACTGCTCAGCTTTCTTTAAATTCTCCTTATCATTGAATGTTTTTCTGCTCATTGGCAGGACTACACTCATTGGCATTCAACGTTGAACTTGGATTAGCAACTCGATGCATCCGCTCCTGCGAAATTAGATCTTTAGTTTTTGTTGTCATGGGTTATTCGGGAAATTGTTAAGGTAATGGCGCCGAGTTATTTCTTTTCTCAAAGCATCCCATTCTTGAAATTTCCAAAAAATTTACTCGGTTGGTGGTGGCGCAATTTATTTTAATGCGAATTACAGGCGATTTGCGAAAGATGCAGTCGCTGTTTGTGGGTTCCAAATTCTTCAAAGTGGTTTCACTATCTCACCATATTTGGAGATTATATTTTGCTTATTTTTGAGCACCTGTACTGACTCCTCCTCGAATAATTGTATAAGAGGACATATTCCTTTGACGGCATCAAAATTTATGTGAGAGTTTCAGTATTATGAGATAGAAAGCCTCATAGGTCTCTTACGAAACTGCTCATGCCATATTAAATTAGTAATGATGCATCAGCTTTAGATATTTCTTCAGTTCACAACTTGGTGTTCCTATTTGTTGTTACTGTTATTTTTTCGACCCTGTTTCTATCCTTATGCCGTGTTCTATGGCTTGTTATAGGAAATTTCTAGTCAACAGAAGGATGACATCAGTCGACGAAGTTGTCCTTCCTAGTTTTACCAATATCGGAGAACCTACCAGTACCTCTTCAGGTTTTTTTTTTCATTTTCTCTAACTTCATTCAAAGAAATTGCCCTAGTTTTTCAGATGACGCGGTGTTTGAGAATGTTTCCGTGATCTACAGCAGCATTCCACCTGACATCAATATGGACTCCATGCCTCGTGCGACCAAGTCGAGCGTAGGGGGAGAAATGCTTCGTGTTTCAAAGCGATCAGATGGCAAGCTCAGTGTTTTTGCGTGTGACTCTCCACAAAGAACCACTCCATCGGTGACTTTGTCATACTTCCTTCTACTAAGCACATATTTGACGCTTCTTATTCCAGGTGTATGATCGCGGACACAGTACAGTCTGTGTGGTGTGCCACCGAACTATTGCTGATCGGGAGATGTTTTTGAACTTCCCTGACGATTTGGACAGGCGGCGGTTGTGGGGAAACATGCTGGGCTTCAAGTACTCCGTGAGTCGTATTACATTCTGTTTCTATTTATTGCTGCTCCAACTCTGTTTAGGATATGCTGAGAATGCGTGATGGATCTGTTATGCTGAGTACTGGTCTTATTTGCACAGACCACTTTTCAGAAGAATGTTTTAGGTTTGAATATTTTTCATACTGAGTAATGCCTTTGCACTGATCACTACGTTAACCTGACTGGTTTAGGGTTTTCAATTTTAACAAGGCCGCCATTGAAACATTAGGAATGCCAACCGTGGCTTCTTCGAGAGTTAGATTAACGCCATCAAAAAAATGGTGATCTTATTGTTCCAACGCACTGGACACTATATTCTTAGGCTCTTATGTTTTGAACTCTTTCAGGATACCTTGGGATTGTACTGTTTGTTCTTTTCAAAGTCATAGTGTATACGCTATGCAGAGACATATGATTGAACACACTGACGACGTTCTTCTGAGATATCATGTGAGAATACCTGGATTGAACTTCACATTCTTACCTTCCTTTGGGCTCAAAATATTTCTAGATTTTCTGCTATTTCTAGCCAAAAAGTCCACGGGGACTCCTCTGTCCTTTCTGTAGAAGGTGCACGTACGGCTACAAAACCATGAGTGGTCTAAGAAGACACCTGACGATGCCGCCCGTTCAACATTGTCAACTCAAGTGAGCTCGCCGTCATTATTTGAAAAATTGTCGCTGTTTTTGGCTGCACATTCATGGTGTGGATACCGTCATTTTAGGCGTATTTTCGAAATTGCTCGGAGCAACTGTCGGTCTTCGCTTCTGGATCCGGTAATGAAATGGTCTTCATGGACGGACCGCAATGTCTACCTTGCTTATCATGGTTGTGAGCCGCCACCGCGCACTCCTCGGAAGAGGCCGGATAGTAGTCTTTCGACACAGGAATCATCAGAACACTCTAACACTTCTTCGCCAGGTGTACTTCATAACTCACCTAGCACGAATAATGCGGTTTTATCTTCGAAATCAACATCGTGGTCGGATGCAAGTAGCCCAGTCAGTCACCTTGCATCTATTGTGTGTTCGAACGAATTTTTTTGCCAAGTTTCAATTTTCAGACATCGAACTTTTCAAGTTCGCAAACGCCGCAAATCACGCCTACAAATAGTGCAAATCTCTCTACCACTCCAACTGCACGTAGCTCTGGGCCGCTTCCTACTCAGTCTCAGCGCGTTAGTAGAAGAACGCCACGTCAGAACCCACGTCGTCCTCTAGTATTCCCGTCTCCAGTTAAACGCGACAGTACGGGTGTCTTCAAATCATCAAAAACTTTGTTACGTCCGGTAAATTTTTTGATAGTATTCTCTCACTTCTTCTATTTCTGACTTTTTTTCTCTTTTTGAATAACATGGAAAATTGCAACATGGAAAGTAGCTGAACAAGAACATGAAATGAAGAAAAGTCATTCGAACCCGGCTGGATGGGTTCTTTCCGATGTTTTTAAGTGGTTTATGGATGCAAACATTCTTTGATATTTCATGCTTTCTAAGATCTTATGATAGTTCTTCAGATCCTCCAACTCCGAAAGCCTATTTTGCCAGGAGATGTAACCCAGAAAGGAAATGATACTAGTGGACAAACGTGTCAAAACTCAGAACAACGAGATAGTGGTGATGAGAAGTGCCGAACCGTCGCCAAAATCATTTTGAAGGGTAGGATCAACAGTCAAACGTTTTGAAAAAGGCTCGCCTAATTCGTAGTATCGCTCTTAAAAATGGAGCTCTCGAGAAAGACCTCCGAAATTTCGAAAGAAGCTGTTTTAGATGCACTCTTACGTGATTCCATGTTTCAATATTTCCTAATTGATGCACTGAAAAATTTTTTTTCGTTTCAATTCGTGGCATTCCTGGTTTAGTGAGTGGTCCTTTGATAGATTGCTTCACTTCCCAAAGGCCTTTTTGGGCAATTTAGTTACAGCCTCTGATGATGAGATACGTAGGGATGTAGAGCTTTCTTTTTTGTCGAAAACATGCAATATCCTTTTGCAATTCTAGAATTTTGTTTCCATTGATGAACAAGTAGACTGATTTCTATAGTAGATAATGGAGTTGGATTCAACGCACAATGCTTATGATCAAGATCAGATGTGATCAAGCGCTTGTAGAAAAAATAATGTGCATTCTTCTTCAAGTAAATGATATTAAACGAATTTGCAGCAACATCGACACCTCATCACACTCTTCTTGATGCCCTCAATTTAATTTCTGCCGACAGGGATGAAGGAGATTCTTTAATAGCTGATCCCGCTCTTACTAAGGTTATTTTTTGAAGCTTCTTGAGTTCTTTTTTATTTGCCTTGCTACTTTTCAGAGTTAAATTCGACATGTTCATCTCACAGGGCTGGCCGCGCTATATAGGGTGCGCCATAAATATGGTAATAAAATAATTTAGCTACAGAAATAGCAGTTCATATTGATACATAGTGAATTTATGTGAACTATTTACTGTGCATCGCATCTACGAAACGAACACACGGTCATCTTATATAACCGTCTTCTGTACTAATTATAGCTCGAGCACGCTTCGGCTACTCATCGACGGTGGCACGCAGACTTACTTGAGAAACTCCAGCTCGAGCTTTTTTCGATTAATTCGCAGGAGCTGCAGCAGTAGTGCGTTTTAAAGCCCAGGCTTTCCTTCTCACTGTGGACTGTATCCAGCGACCCATCACACTGTGGTCCGGGAAATTAGGAGGATTTCCACGTGGGATGAGTGACGAACATCTCCTCAGCACCAGTCTTGATGTTTTCCCAATCGTGGGAAAGTGTGTCGCAGGTTTCAATTCGGAATCCTAGAGAAATCTTCGACTCTCAGCTTTTCTTTCAGAAAACCCTTTCTCAAGAGGTTCGGATTTAGTTTTGTACTTTTCTCGACCAGAATTTGCGATATCGCTCTGATGGTAGAGATTTTGGCCCAAACTATCATGGAGGAGGAAAAATTGCCTTGAGAGGCGATCTGACTCTTCACAACAGCTTCAGCACTTGTAATGTGAAATATGCGTATATTTCGGGATCTCAACATTTCTTCCTTGCTCAACACCCTTTAGTCAGAAAAAGTGTATCAGAGCGCGTGCCGCGCGCAAATAGCGCTCGACATTTGTTTTTTCTCTTCAACTTTTTTCTCGTCGAAAAGCTTATATGGCCTTCGAATCTTATTTGGATACAATTGTATTTACTCTGGGTGGACTCTTCCCATCGGATTAGAGTATACAAACAAATCAGCAGCCATTTTTCTTGTGTTTCTGCAGGTTCCGCAGGCACTCCTTCCCAAGCAATCGTACTCGGAAAAGAGAACGTATGGGAAACGAGACGACCGTATTGATGTTTGTTGTTGGCCTGTCTACGCAACACAATTCAAGATACTGTCATGTGGAGAATGTCGAAAGGGGGAACGAACCCGGAAAAGAACTCACCAAACGTGCGCAAAGACGGGACGGTAGGTGGATGTCTGCGAGGCTCTACCGTTTCTCCAAATCTGAGGGATTGAGAGTACCAAAGCAAATATGTGGGCTAAGGTATATAATAAATATAAGGGGAGGTGCAGGTTTGGAGAATCCCTCCAAGCAAGGAAATTGCGGACGTCCGAAAAGTTGTTACCATATTTATGGCGCACCCTGTATATTTACTGTTGACTTTGTTCTGGATTCTTGAGCACTATAAAGTGATTTTGAGTATGAGGCTAATTCACCTTTTACATATAGTGCCAGCCATAGTGTTGAGAATTATTGTAATGTTTATAGTCAGTGAGCATTCTGGCTTTGACGCCACAGAAAGGGGAGAACGACAAAAATCGTTTGATCTGATTCGTTTGTTGCGTTCGAAGAATTTATTTTTCTCTCGTCTCACAAAATAATTTCAGCCACTATTTTCATGTGGTGACGTTGCTCAGGAATTTTCAAATGCCTCTGTTCCAATCTTACCAGAACCACATCCGAGCAAAACCCGCAGGCAACTGGAATCTGTGGAAGCAAGGTGCCTATTCTTTTCCAACGGTATCATTTGCTCCGACCTTATAATAGGTTGAATAGTTTTTGGACCATCCCACATAACATGACTTCATTCATCCAATAAGAATATTTCGTGAGAATATTTTGAGCAGGTTCCGGATCTACAATAGATGACATATTATATTTCCAACAGTGTAATTTTAGACTTCGCATTTTCGGTGATTGCTCTCGTGTGGAAGTTCCTTCTGGTTACACAACAATAGAAACGCACAGTGGTGTTCGACTTGTAAGTTTACTATTCAGCTTCAACCTGAATTAACTCTTCGCAATTTGCGGAAGATCTTTGCGTGTGTCTCTCCGAACAGAAATGGCACAGTTCAGTGGCACTTTATTACCACGCCTACATGTTCCTCTTGAAGCTTCAGGAAAACATGCTGGTTCACCAAATTGCCTGAGTGCTGCAGTTAATTATACACTCTTTGCGTATCACTCTCGAGGAAAATGGTAGGAAATTCGTTGCCAGAATTGAAGTGGGAAACGAGTAAACTTTGCTGTTGAATGGAAGATTTTAGTCCAAATACAAATGGCGTGTGATGCCTATATTATCGGTTCAATATACCGTGTGCCATGCTTTTTTTTTGGAAACGGCTCTCCAACGAAAATCTTGAGACTTTTCCCTGGAGTAGTTAGTTTTCTATGGGTAAGATGTCTTTATAGTTCTATCATGTCTTCGTTTCCTCCTTTTTTATGTTTGAAGTGGCCCAGAAGAAATTAATTAGTTAGTGGGCACCCAACATTATGTTGGCCAGGAGCTAAATTGTGCAAGCATAGCAGGGTGCTTTTGTTTTGTCAAGCTGCGGAATTTGGACATAATTTTTAGTTTTGATCAATACATTTTATTGACACAAATCGAATGCACCGATGCATCCGGCTTGTGAGTCGTACATAATGGTAGTGGCGTTTAATTGCCTTCTAGTACTCCTTCCATGATTTGCGGGGCGAACGGACATAAATCAATATTCTTGTCCTCCCAGATAAGTCTGGTGGTGGTTGTGATTGACTATCAAGGGTGAAAACCCTGCTCTATCGAACAGGTTTTATAACAAGAATTGCTCCCGCGACAGTTATAGTTCAACGACGTGCGTTGTTTCAACCGACGACCGACCAGCTGACTGCGTTGCTGGCCACGTGTTGGCAGCGCAGGACAGATTGCGTTCAGGGCTGCGTGAGCAGTATCGATCAGTGTCGATCGCTGTCAGCGCGTGTCCAGCAACGCCGTTGATCGATCGGTCGTCGTTTGAAATAACGCAAGTTGTTGAACTCTGGAAACACTCGCTGACGGTCTTTCTCTTGCAGCCTCACTTGTAAAGCTGTGTTCAGCGGTTAGACATCTATTTGTTGCGGGCACTTGTATGCAACCTCGTTACAGTGATAGTTGATGATACACGAAGCAAAAAATTTTTTTTGATTCCCTAAAAATCTTGTTTTCAAGGGCGCATCATGTTTAGGTCGAAGGGGGTGCTAATATTCACGATGTCTCACGCATGATCTGCCTGCCTCGTGGACGATTTGTCCCTGTTTCCCGCCAGTGATTGTTGGAATATTTTTCACATGTGTGGATACTGTTTTTGATGGCATTATTTGAGAGGTTGTACGAACTTTGTTTAATATTTTGATTTGCTTAGGCGTTATTGACGGTTTGTCACAAAATATGTTTAATTGAGCTCCTTATCTTTTTGCATTTGTGCAGCATAGTGTCGTAGTGGATGTAGTGATGTTTTAGAGGTCATACACCCTTTTGGAAGGACTAAGTCACGATGCGTTTTTTTATATCATTCAGTCGTTTAATTTTAATTGATTCGTCTATGAAATGGGACTCAATGCGAAGAGAATGTCTTTATTTGTTTTTTGTCGATAAGCATCTCGAGTTCATCGGTTGAGTTCATCTTTCTTTCAATCTTTACGATATGATTATGGTTAATTGTTATGCTACTTTCAGAAACATAATAAAACATCTCATTTTTTTCTCGTATAGCCTTTATTCCCATGTGAAATTCATTCGATACTAAGCAATATTTCTAGAAATGGTTTGGTATTACTGACACATTTAGCGTCTTACAGATGTCCCTTTCGCCAGACATAAAGGATCTCTTTTTCTTGGACCGTATTCCGTGCAGCACTACGAAAATGATGTTGTTGGCATACCTACCCATTGGTGGGTAACTTCTTTTTAGGTTTGAAAGATGTTATGTCAATTAGGTTTCCTCTCAGGATGTGCGGTGTTTTTGATTCGTTTGTTTATTGGTGTACACACGTTCTTCGTTGCGTGCCTACTACGAAAATCCACCATTATCCGGTCTGTTGTGCTTCGCATCATGTGCGCAATACTAGGCATCGTAGTTCAAAGTGAAGGAAAGAGGTAACGCTGTATTCAAGTAGACTCAGTATTTTAAAAATTCATTGTACGACATCAGTGCTGTTTCGCGAGCTGCCATCTACAGACCTCGTTCGGTAACGATCTTTTCGTGAGATAGAAGCCATGAAGCTAAAGACAACTTTGTAAAATGATCATCCATGAGTACTGGTGCAATAGTAGAACGATCATTACCATTAGGGCGACGGAAAATACTTGCAACAAATTTCCATGTATCGTTATCTCTACATCTGAACCGTCTGTCTCGAACCATCACTACATTCTGAAACAATCTTCCCCGTGCGATCCTTCCCATCGCTGCGGTACGGAGGCTCCCCCAGATTCGGGGTTATGATGCCCATTCATATTACTTTTTTGGCGGTATTGGTGCCCACAAGTAGCGTGCCGTAGGCTTTGCCATGAGGGCTTAGGGACTCCGGGCAGCTAGCCAAGCTATCTAAAGAAGGCGTCTTGCTATCTGGAAAAAGGGGACTGCCTGGAATACACCTGTTGCGAACATCAGCATCGGCAGAGACAGTGAAACGAAAATGGAACATCAGCATCACCTTTCACTGAACACTGCTTTGAGGCTATTATCGTCATCGTTTTTTTGGCCTGTTCCGTAGATTAATGAGATGGTCAATCACCACGATTTTGAGCTTTAGCATTTTTCTGCTTCCGTAACAGAGAGTTGTTTTTCAAGGTTTACCCTAATCGTGGAATCATTAGCTGTTTTTACAAGTTACTGCTCTATAATCGTCCGAAACGTTCAGATGCTCTAAAGTGAATATAATTTGTGCGAACCACGTGAGCGCCTTAGACCATTTGGCCGTGGACCTTGTTGAGCCATGCGTACTGCCATCAGTGTGGGATATCCCTTCAATAATCAGGTGGTAAGTAGATGTCTTGTTGTTTCATTATTGACGTAAGGGTAGGTAAAAGTTTGACGCTAGGGTGGCCACACGGTAAAATAAATGTATACATGAATCCCTACGCACGCGCGAATCATTGATAGTGGTCTATTGGCATCAGACCGGCTTCAGTGACTGTGAGTACCTTAAGCTGGACTCCAATTATTCAGGTTTAAGCAATACATCCGGCGCTCCACCATGCTGTAACCCGTATATCAAATCGCAGGGTGGCACTAGCTTAGGAGAGCCGATGTTAACTTTTTTGACCAACCAGTATCATCTGGAATGATATGAAGCGCTGAAATGTGTACGTCGCCTAGCGCCCTGATCATTACTCAACCAAATACTCTTGAAAAAGCGGAGCGCATAGTATTTAAGGAGCAACGTTCCTGAAGTAACTGCGTGGAAAGCGCTCACGAAACTTCTATCCATTTAAGGTCAAGGTTTTGAAGTTCCTTCAGGTGTTTTGGATACATCGACCTCGGTGCACGAGATGGACGTGATGAGCTTGTGCGACGAGCGAGACAACATGTTGATAGCGAAAATCTTCCTCTGCTGTCGTTTCCTGAAGGTGCTATAACAAGCGGTCGTAAAGGCCTATTGAAATTTAGGTATGTACGTCTGCTTCTTATCGAGAACAATTGCGTTTCAGTTGCTAGTAGGAATATGATAGTGACAGCCTTGCTGAGGAGGCGGTCGACTAGCGCGGCTTTTCGCAACTACTTTGCGATTGGGTACTGTAATTGGTTCTTCTGAACTGCCCAAGAGGTTCATCTGCCGAGCTAGAAATCTTTTCTCGATCACACAACTGCCCTGGAATACTCATCTGATTTTTTTCAAAGTGGATACCATTGATCGGAATATAGATGTGAAAGGAAATTCAAGGGAATTTATCAAAGAAGTGGTCAAACGAGCGTTTGTGTGATGCCCGCGTTAGCGTGCGTAACCCGAGTGGTATTAGCCTGAAGTATCATTGAGCCACCTTTAAAAAATAGTGGGATTACTACTGCAAGGAAACAGGTGTCTCAATAGGTGCTAAATGGACGCAAAACGGAATTGTAGCATAGATGAATTCGAGGCCCTTCGTGGGACCATATGTGCCGATATCAGGTCGAGAAAAGGCCTGATAAGGTACAATAAGGGGCCAGACATTGTTTAGGGTGAATGCCACACCCACCGCGGACGATTCTCAACGGTGTTGTGGAGATGCACTATCTCATGGGACTCCCATGTAGAAAGTTCTAACTAAATACTTGTCATGATCCATGGTGACACTGGAAAGCAGTTTTAGACAATTTTGACTTGATGTAGTCATCTCTTCCTGCAGTTGTCACATCTGAAATCTCTTCTCGCTTTCTTTGTCACTGATGCACTACTCTACATACATCAACACTTCCTCTTTTCCACTTGAAATGGGTACCTCAAAATTATCGTGAACTGTGTCTTTAAATAAAATTGGTAGAGATCGAAGGAGATCCCTATTTGTTCTTGTTTTTTTGGAAGTTTTTTTTTTAATTGCCAGCAAATCTATCAAAGCGTTTTTATGGGTGAAAATTATTTGGATACTCAAAAATTGGTTTGGTTCTTATATGCTCACCTTGATTCAAAGTGTCCGTGTTGATTGTCAAAATAAAAAAAAATCGTATGTATGTATATCGGTTCACTTATACACGAAGCCCTGAAACCTAAATTTTTATCGTAGGAGTCATCGAGTGAGTCTGTTTCGCGTACAATATTGCTACTGACCCATTCCATTCGGTTAAGCAGTAATGTGAGAGGAAAGCATGTGAAATTGATAGGTGCGAGGTTTCTCAACCGTGAGTATTGCTCGATAATTTCGATTCAGGAATGTTTCAGAGAGACCACGTTTCCTCTTCCCTGTTATATATGCACGCTGTAACGAGCCTTTTACAGTTCCTGGCCCTGCGAGATTTCCGATCAGGTGCAACCGCTGACTATACGTATCTCACGCCCACTCTTCGATATATCTCCTTCCCTCCTTGGGTCCACATGGTGGGCCGACGTTGCTTGGTTTGCGTTTCTACCCTTCAGTGTTTATCATCTTACTTGGCTTCCTGTTCTGAAGAGACGAGAGCATGTAAGTTAATTTCTCCAACTACGAAAACATTTTCCATAATTTGCAACTGCAGGAAACAGTGGAAAGGTTCTCCGCAAGAGTGGAAGCTGGAATAGCGGAACATCTTGGAATAGTTGTTACAAACCTAACACATATGGACGCTGTAGAAGCTGCAAAAAGACATCTTCATTCGCGAGCAACTCCAACCCCGGTCAGGGTGGGTATTGCTTCTAGAGAAACTCGTTCGTATTAACGTTTTGCTGTACTTTCTCAAGACGAGGTTTCTTTCGGTGCTGAGCCTTCCCCTGATTAGGACGAATCATTTTTTTTNTTTTTTTTACTTTTTATCGGCACTGACCAAGATAGTTCATGTTCCCAAACGATAGTTCTTTAACACTACTCTCAATCTCGTGTTGCTCTTTTCTATACCTGCAAGTGCACCATTGGTCGCTCAAGTTTCTTTGGGGAGGACCAATAGAGCGTCTGCTTTCTTTCGCTCTTTTGGTATGCATTTCCAAGTTTGTACAGAGTGGCTCAAAATTATTGTTAAAAAAACTTTGACTTAGAGGTATTACACATTGAACTCGATATAGTGTAAATCTGATGTGTTAATATTGGGAAATGCTATGATTTCTTTAATATCACTGAATTGCATCAAAATCCGACTAATTAGCCAAGATGGTACGCTCTAATTCTATTCGTGACGCCAGTGTGCACTTCCACGGCGCTGGCAACACCCCATACCTGATCGCAGAGACTCGCCGTCTGCCAAACAGTCTATAGGACTCTCAAGAGATACTATGAGACTGCTCCGACTACCGTCCTCGATTTGCTTTTGACAACTGTAACCCAAAGCTTCTAGTATAAGAGGTCAGAGATCAGATCGATGATTTAAGTAGCTAGATCCTTAGCTGATGATAACTTCCCAAAAACAACCCTACATTTCATATACTCTATAGGTATACTGAACCCTTCACAAAAAGAATGAATCCTTCGCACAAGCCGAGTATGTGACCGGTTTTCGAAAGAGTGATATTTTCTTTTACAGAGAAGAGTAGTCGACACTAGAATGCTTGACGAAATTGCAATGCGAATCAAACAATCGCATCCATCAGCACATCTTCTCGATATTAGGATGGATCTTGAGCGTACTAGAGATCAACAGGTACACATATACAGTTTTTGTCTTTGTTTCTTCGTTCTTGTGTTGGCTGACCAGGGGCCATACTTTCCTTTGGTGTATTTTTGGTTTTATTATCTTCTTGTTCCTCCCATTGCGTAATTAGTAGTAGAATGTTTCAATGGCTATAGTTTTCGTCACGTTCAGGCAACAATTGATCGTATACGTTTTGGTGAACTGCGTTGCTTCTCACGCATTGTTGGGAAGGTTTGGCTTTTTCGATGCCTTTCATTAACTTGACGGAATGTGTTGATTTCAAGGTAGCATCGGATCCATCAGATTGGAAACGGATGTACACGGAAAGAAAATGGACAATGATAGAACAAAATCGGCAACGGTATTTGGAGAGACTGAATAATTCGACGGTATCCACCGGTCATTAAACTTTCCATTTTGTAAGTCTGCCTGTATACGTCGTTGACCGGTTTTGTTTAATAAATGTTTCTTTTTCGAGTTTATCAACTCGTATATTCTACTAGTTTCTAGTTGTGGTGAAATTGTGAGTCTAATGTTTTGGTGATCATGATTTGTCCTTCCCTGTATAGTGGTTCACCTGTTAGCTATTACGTCTGCAATAAAACTCAGATTTGTACGCTTCGTAAATATTTCTTTTTCTCTTCTTCTTCTCAGAGAGAGAGTGTGTGTTCAATTTACGTTAACATCGTAAACACTACCTCTTCTTTGTCTATGTGACATTTTGATGTGTGTTTTTGCTTTTTTAACGAGAATCAGTTGAAAATGAAACGATACAAAAGCGCAAGCACGTAGATTGTTCTTCACCATTCTTATATATCTTCAAAATTTCGGGGTTTCAGTTCATTAGCTCGAGATACCCTGGATCAAAGGAGACATTTGCCAATATCATAGTATTCATTTAAGGCGTTCCACTATGTCGCTCTCGTCCACTACGATCGCCTGGCGGAATACCTTCCTGCTCTAGTGTTTTGCTTTGTAGATATGGTGCAACGATTAGAACAAGTTCATATCGATCCCACTTTAAGCAAGATTTAGGCAACACTATTTTATTTCATCATGGTACTTGTCCCTTATCTAACCATAATATCATTAGTTTCATTCATCCTTAATAACGCAAGATATATCAGTTATACACATTTTTAGAGTACATAATAGCATGCTAAATTCGTGCACGCTCATACCTTACATTAACACGATCTAGCTTAACGTTTTTTCTACTTTTCGCAGTATCTCGAGTTCACCTTTGTATGAAAATGGGTCATAGAGATCAGAATGAATGATCCTGGAAACTAGAATATGAGTGTTTAAAAAAGCCATCAAGACTTTTCCTTTGTTTTCGTAAAGATTGGACAGCAGGCCTTAGAGGGAAAGGTGCACCGGAGAAGGCGATTTTTAGCTTGACTCACAAATTAGTCATCTCACTCACCCCGGTGCCCTCACCCTTTCGAGGCTAGTCAAAAAACTACATTCTCCTGGAAAGGCTGCAATAGCGCTCAAATGGCCGGTGCCCATACTGATCTTCACCTGCGATCTTCCCCCTTTGGATTTTTGATACAGTGCTAGTATAACTAATTTATTATGTATGCCAACGTTGTACGTGTGAGTGTTGCTAAGCTATCCTACTATATATAACGCGCTAAAGATAGGGTGTGTGCCGATTCGTGCGATTCTGGTTGCGCGCGGCAAATTGCGCGGCGAAATTCGGTTGTATTCGAACGACTCTGACGCCTATTATTGGGGCACAAACGTGAAGTAGAGTAGTTGGGTGTGGTCAACTGATCCTACCAATCTCTCTACTTCATGTTTGTGTTCCAATAGTAGGCGTCAGAGTCGTTCGAATCATCACGAATTCCACCGCGCAACTTGTCGCGCGTACCCAGAATCGCACGAATCGTGCGTCTCCCCTAAAGTTAGCGTGTTCCTGTGTATGTGTGTTTGTGTGCGTGTTTGTCCGACCGGAAATGCATAATTCCTGTCCCCGTGGGCCTAGAGCCTTCAAACTTTGTAGGTGTACAGGCGGTATGGTGGGTGGTTGTTCGAACGGAAATTCATTACTGCAGGTTCCCGTGGACTTAGTGAGTTCAAGTTTTGTAGGGATACAGGCGGTTGGATGGAAACACTTATTGGCGAATTTGGTAGGAGTGCAGAAGACTGGTAGATGCCAGAACAAGACTTAGCCCGCGGGGGTGGAGCGTGCATAAAATGAGAGTTGTCTCAGTGAATGTGCGCAGTCAGATCGAATAAAAGAAGGGTGCGAATCAATTTTCTTTTCACGAAGTGTGTCGAGTGGGTGTGTGTGTGTGTGCTTAGCCGAAAGTTTTTACCTCCTGTTTCACTGTGCTAAAGCGTCCGCATTTGGAGAGGACGTAGACGACAGGTCTTTTTTACAAGGAGAAGCGCCCGGCGTTAGCCGGCGGATCCGACTGGTTATATTTCACTCTTCTTATAAGAGATATACAGAGAACATTCCCATGGTGTATTGACACCTTATTAGGTTGTAGCGCGCCTAGGTGCAAAGTGACCTTAACCGTACAAGTGCACAAGGGGCCCAACGGCAAGGAAAGGCCGCCCATAGCACATAGCAACATGGAGGAGCATGGTCTGGACCGCCCATATCGCAAACCGCCATTGCCTTACCGTTTCTCCACAAGGCGAAAAGAAAATATGCCAAATTAATCGAGTTTCGGAGAAGGAACCATACGAACCAACTTTCAGGATCCACCTCAGTTTTTATCACGTAGTGCTGTTGAAAAGAGCCGTGGGTTATGTTTTATGTTTATTAATCAATGATTAATAGCTCTTAGGGCATTGAATTGTTGTCGATCATCATGAGCTTATCTTTTTTTTCTCCATGTAGTTGCATATAATGAAGCACATTTCGTTCTTCGTGAATTTTCTTTCAACTTCCTTTAATTCTCTTCAGGAAAGAACTCTTCCATTACAGGGCTAGAATGTCATCCAATCTTTGCACGCCGATCGCTCGATTGAGTAGAGGGATAAGTGCGCAGCGCTGCTTTCATAAATTTACATATGTGTATAGAAAAACTGGAAGAACTGGAAGTACGTCACATTCATTTCTCATCCCAATTTCTATTTGTTGTATCAAAATGTAGAATCATTAAGCTTTCCCTGGTGAAAAAATGCTTCCGTTTAGATACTTGCGTGCTGCCACGACAGTCCTGGCGCTTCGATCTCGCAATGAAAAAGAACTTTCAACGAACGATTGGCAAGAGATACGGATACGACATGGGGTGCATAAGTCGCTCTTCTATTCTCATTTTTTCGGCATTGGTTATAAGTTTGCATTTGAGATAGCGAGCGTGACGATTTGAGTCGAAAATAATGAAACCTCGGTACTATTCTACTATTACACCCCCAAAAACTCAAAATTTTAATTTTCGATGGAACTTCGCCTATAGGGGTAATCCGATGCCCTGATAACGAATTTAACATTCATTTCTGGCGCTTACGCCATTTGGCTCCAATTGGCGCCAATTTGGCGCCAAATTGGCGCCAACGCCAAAAATGAAGGTCATATTCGTTATCAGGGCATCGGATTACCCCTATAGGCGAAGTTTCATCGAAAATTAAAATTTTGAGGTTTTGGGGGTGTAACAGTAGAATAGTTCTGGGGGTGTAATAGTAGAATAGTACCGAAACCTCCTCTAGCCTCCGTGCAAACCCAGCATTCGAAATGGGGGGGGGGGGGGGGGGGGNGGGGGGGGGGGGGGGGGGGGGGTTACGCTGATAGCTATTGCTCTTCTGTCCTGCATTGATTCTGTATAAAGTTCGACAAGTTCAGTCTTACCATTGTGGCAAATTCAGGTCGCCGTAAGTGTCGTGTAGAGACTAATGTTCTTCAACGTACAACTTAGTCCTTTACGCCTACTCGGATGATTAACTTAGCTGCATGTGTTGTCGGATTTAGCGCGAACTAAATGCCCGTGCGGAATTTCGTAACCCTCTTCCCGTGGAGCTGGATCGTTCAAAATTGCTAGTGAGACAGGAGGCAGGAAGGTCTCACTGACGTGGGTGACAACTAGGCTTTGCTCACAGGGGGCAGAGCCCAGTCCTTGTGGTGTTTTTCTTCGCTTTTTCGTAGAAATTGCAAACAATTATGAACAATCACAACAACTACAACATTTCAAGGCCTGCAGTTGACTGCAACCCTCATTCACTTTTAATGATATCGAAACTGGTTCAACTGAAGGGTTTTCATCTTGGCTACTCCTTCCTTTAAAGGGATCCGCCTTCTATACCTCCGAATTCTTCCTTGCACTTCCTGAATGGTCTCATTGTCGTAGGAAAAGAGCTTTTACCAAATACGACAGCTCTGGTGGTCATTTGCAAAACACTCTAATCCTTGTACCACTTTATGTCAAGAATAAGAGAAGTAATAAAGAGCGTTGCTGTCTTGGAAGATGGCTTAGAGGAACAAAAATTCTTGAACTAGTTCAAACGCTAGAAAAGTTTATCAAATAAGTGTTTATGATTAGTGAATAATATTACACAGTGAGTGTTAGTTCCATATGAAAGGCTGGGGGCTATTGTGCAATTGTTTAGAGAACATCTCATGAGAAAGCGAAACGAAAAAGTATGCCCGGGATGGGAATCTTCACTCTACGCCAAAAAGTTTGTGGCTCTTCCGGTCACACCATCGCTATATAGCAGTTATTATGGCGCTAACTGCTTATTATTTAACGCTTTCCATGTCACCAATTGTGAAAGAGGGCATCTCAGTAAGCCCATTCTCAGAATCATTCCATAAATTTGAAACACAGATTTGAGTTCAGCTTTTAGAATTACATGCGGCGGTATTCAGGGTTGGCCGAAATTATGATGACAGCGCGCGCTGACGCTCATACCAAAATTTTCTCAATTTATAAAATTTCTTTCGGTTTCTCCTATTTTGGTGAGACGGGAAGGATGCTGGGCATACGCGTTGAAGAACAATTCGAAGGTAAAAGGCGAGGATGCCTACTCACGCCACTTAGTAGGTATCGACTAAACGAACATCAGGACAAAGATTTTGAAATCAAAAGCGAAATCCTAGTCTATGTGAATGAGATTGGTGCTAGGAAGATATTGGAAGCGTTGTACATCCACGAGGGGAATCCCAAGCTGAACAACCGAAATGAGTGCATTACCATAACAAGTTAACTTCTGCCATTCATTCCCTTCTGTGGGCTTTGAAATCACCGCGTAGTTCCTACCTCACGACCGTTAATAGTGTCTCACTGTTCCTTTGTTGTTCGCAAAATACATTGAGCGGGACGACAGCGCTGGTAGAAGAGCAGGAAGTTAGTTTCTCGGGAGGAATTTCTCGGTGTTCGAATTTCTGGGAGTAGTTGGAACTGGCCTAGTGCGTTTGGGCGCTTGGTCGGGTAAGCCGCAGATCAAGACCTCGGAACTATTTTCAGGTTCTTGAAGACGACGAGCTACTCAGAACGTCGACCTAATGAACGGTTCCATCATAACAAACCTGTACGGCAAAGCATTGTGAAACATTATGTGGCATATCCAGGTTTCAAGAATACCGAACGTGAAAAAGACTCTATACTATCAGAAAATGATTTACCTAGTGAACAGGCTTAAGAGAAAGAGAAGGGGTGGCTCACAACACCTGCTACTCCGTTTTCGAAGAAATGGTCATAGGGAATTCCTGTCCTTCAACGAGAAGATATACACAGTGGAGATGAAGCTACTAAGTAGAGTCACAGGATTCATATGAAGCGAAAGGAATGGGAAAGATACAGCACTAGGCTTGCCGTCTTTCTGTGATGGCGTTTGGAAGCATCAGCGCCGCAGCAGAAACTCCGATTATTTTTGTGTCTTGAGGAGTCAAGGTAAATTTGAAGGCCTGTTCGATATAGCCATGTGCAATTAGACATGTCGGCCATTCGAACCGGACACACTGTCAAGACAGAGCTCCTGACCGCGAATCAAAAATAATCCAGGGATTCCGTAGGAGAAGTTCCCCAACTTCATAACTTTCGATAAGTGGCCACTTAGGAACCCTGACCTGAATCCCATGGATGTCTCAGTGTGATAAACCATGGAAATAATAGCATGCGTCAACCCAAACAAGAACTGGAATATTCTCGAAATTGCCTCGTAGAAGACCGTTATCAGCTCGTTCATTCTAAATGCGTGCCACCGTCAACGCCTTATGTCGTCGTCTCCGTCATCTTAAGCGAAAGCGGGAAGCAACAAATCTTTCAAAGTATTACTTTATAAGGGATTATCGATGAACACTTTGTAAAAGTAGTTTCTTTCATTAGCTTTCTATTTGTTTATGGGGATGTGATATGTGTGTCATCATAACTTTGGTCCACCCTATACATCCCTTTTCCTAGTATCCTTACCTTTCATTTGATCCCAGCGTTCTGATTCTGATCGTGTGCATACTATACATGAATTTCCCATAGGTGTGATGCTTTTGTTTGCTGGCCCTTTCCTTGTTGTTACTTTGTGATATTGCTAAAGTTCCATCCCAGGGAAAAAAGTTCATGCTCACAATCAATGCCACTCGGCAATGATAACTGAAAAAATGTGTGATCTCATTTGAAGGCCAAACGGGGAAGAGAAGCAGATTTCAGGTGATTGGTAGTAGCAGATGATAATTGCAGGCTTGAAGATCGAATATTGCTATCTTCTCTTGGGCGGCGTGAGAGACGTTTGGACCAGAAGAAAATGGCACAACTGTCGGCGATCCTTGAAGCACAGATCAGTGATGCTGCTTCAGCTAACCCTGAAGTTTCTGCTTGTGCCGTACAGTTCACCAAGGTAAATTCATGGTAAAACTAAATACGAGCGAATCACGGACCGAAGCATCTAGACTATTTTCGAATTGTTCTTGTGGACAGTATGACTATGAGCTTCCGTTTTCGCATGCATAACGAGCATCGAAGCTTATCCCACGCAAAATCGTTATTGACTAAGAAAAAAGTAGAAGCGTGTCGTCTAGAAGAATATTTCTTATGTATTAAGGAATTATTGAAAAGATAGTGAATTTGCCAGAACCTCATCAGATTGCAACGTTCTTACATTCGAGACACAAGCTATAACTAGAAAGAGCTTTTGGCTAGACCCCTAGCTCTCAACAAACTACAGATCTCATGGGCATTTCATATTTACTCGAAAAGTAATCCTAGAAGCAATCGTTATGCTGGTCATCTTGTTGATTTTCTCTTGTACGAAGTCGCAGCATTAAATCCACTTGAATGATAAACTGAAATCCCCTTAACATTTCTGATTGACTGGTTAGATTATAGATCGCATTTTTGAGAACCTACTGACAAAGTTTCCAAATAGTAATGAAAACAACACCGGAAACTTCATCCTGCATCATGAAATACACAACGAAAGCTGCCTCTTACTGCTACCCAAATTTACTATTTACTGACGTGCTGATGTGTTCCGCAGATGACTGTGATGAATGTGCTCATTTTTCTTTTTCATGAAATGTGCCACAAACGTTTGTAATATACTTTAACACTCCGATTTACTATCTACAGCCCTCCTCATATTGGAGAAAAACTGAATATACGAGAAATTTTCCCTGCTCTCCACTTCTTGTCGAATGAGAGTGCATCTCAAGTCTAGTACAAAGGAACTAAGGAAGACTTTGCCAAAAAAAGGGCGAATTACCAGGCGAAATACTCTGAAGAAGATGTACGTGTCAGTTCTTTTATCCTCCCAGACGGATCTGGTACCAATTAACCGATCCCGGAGGGATGGAAGGCTTGGTTGGCCTAGGCGAATATCCATCGAGGATTCGAGTCCGTGACCACGCGCGTGTGAAGTGCGCCACTTGCCACTCCACCACCTCCGCTCGGCTTTGTAGATAAGCGGAGAAAATGAAAGAAGTTAGCACAAAGAAGAACATGACAGTCTCATGTACGACAGCGACACTCGCTGAATGGTGCTGAAAATCAAAAAGAAAAGCTCTATGGAAAACAGCTTCTGGATAAAGGCGCAGCTCTATTAACTCGGCTAGAGCAAGGGAAAACTTGTACTATATCACAAGCAGTTGGGTCACCCGGCTTACGCTGGGCCTCATTTCTTACTTTCAGTGCTAAGAAGGAGAGGCAGCCGACCTTGCCGTGCTTTGGAACGGTTCTAGGCGAAAGAATATAGTTTCAGTCTCAACCTAAAGCTCGAGATGGGAGAAGCGACGAGGGGGAGGGGGGTGAGATGATTACCTCGTGCAAAATTTGGTCTACGTTCCTTCTTAATTAGCAAACGTTCTTACGTTTTCTTACGTCAAACGTTCTTTCGCCTAGAACCGTTTCAAGCACGGCAAGGTCGGCTGCCTCTCCTTCTTAGCACTGAAAGTAAGAAATGAGGTCCAGCGTAAGCTGGGTGACCCAACTGCTTGTGAGATAGTACAAGCTTTCCCTTGCTTTAGCCGAGTTAATAGAGCTGCGCCTTTATCCAGAAGCTGTTTTCCATAGAGCTTTTCTTTTTGATTTTCAGCACCATTCAGCGAGTGTCGCTGTCGTACATGAGACTGTCATGTTTTTCTTTGTGCTAACTTCTTTCGTTTTCTCCGCTTATCTCCAAAGCCGGGCGGAGGTGGTGGAGTGGCAAGTGGCGCACTTCACACGCGCGTGGTCACGGATTCGAATCCTCGATCGATATTCGCCTAGGCCAACCAAGCCTTCCATCCCTCCGGGATCGGTTAATTGGTACCAGATCCGTCTGGGAGGATAAAAGAACTGACACGTACATCTTCTTCAGAATATTTCGCCTGGTAATTCGCCCTTTTTTTGGCAAAGTCTTCCTTAGTTCCTTTGTACTAGACTTGAGATGCACTCTCATTCGACAAGAAGTGGAGAGCAGGGAAAATTTCTCGTATATTCAGTTTTTCTCCAATAGGAGGGCTGCAGATAGTAAATCGGAGTGTTAAAGTATATTACAAAGTTTGTGGCACATTTCATGAAAAAGAAAAATTAGCACATTCATCACAGTCATCTGCGGAACACACCAGCACGTCAGTAAATAGTAAATTTGGGTAGCAGTGAGAGGCAGTTTTCGTTGTGTATTTCATGGTGCAGGTTGAAGTTTCCGGTGTTGTTTTCATTACTATTTGGAAACTTTGTCAGTAGGTTCTCAAAAATGCGATCTATAATCTAACCAGTCAATCAGAAATGTTGAGGGGGTTTCAGTTTATCATTCAATGGATTTAAAGCTGCGACTTTGTACAGCTGAGGAGTGACATAGGCAAATTTCGCATCTGTGATTAAATAGTTCCGTAGTTGAGAAGTCTGCTCTCTGCTGCCTCAGAAGCGCAAATTCACATTTTAGACTCAACCATCACTCTGAGAACATTTTCTATACCGTATTTCATATTCCTTTTCCCTACTAGAGAAACCACTCAAGGATGCTGCATTTCTACGGTGCGTCGCTACTAACCCTTATGGCGTATATTTTGGAATGCTTATGTAATAACGACTTTCAATGTACTTCAGGAACTCAGGAAGGAAGGGGGAAACCCTTAAGGACTTTCCTTTGAGTCCACCTTTTTAAATTAAACTACGTCAAGGTGCTTGTCACATCGTGTTACATCTCATCCACCTTGATTTTCCACTTCTGTCTCCTTCACCCGATGTTTTCATTATAATATTTTTGCAGGTGACTGTTAATAGCTCGTTCACTGAGGTGAAGGTATGGTGGCTTTGCGATGACGTTAACGACAAGGTTAGTTTTCTTCTTAGCGGGTGAACAATCGCAAGCGATTACGTGGTTATCATAAATGAATTCAAGTCAAGACTAAAGGACTGCGATCAGCAGTTTCGCAGCGCTCAAAAGAATTCGGCGAAACACTTTCTTCTTCACCATTTTTCATCTTGGTCGAATTATGTGGGATTTCATTAAGTTACCCAGTCCAGTAACAGGCAATTGAAACCTCCTGTATAGGTGTGAGCCTTTCACGCTATTCTTTAGAGATTCCAAATAAAATCTGGCAGAATTTTCCAGAAAGCAAAAGTCATTGGGGTGTCTGCCTAGCCCGGAAATAGTGGGTCGTTTGCATGATGCTCAGGTGGGGGAATTCAAAATCATCCCAAGGAAATGACTGCACAGAGCGCGAACGTTCAAATTGGCTTTTTGTTTTGCCATGGGCCAGATAAGTAATGGTGGAGCGGAGTACTGGACGCTTGCATTATGGAAGAAGCAAGGGTATATTGATATCTGTAGATCGTGTTTTTCGACTTGTATTTTTTGTACGGAACTGGAAAGGCTCTTAGAGAAGGCGTGTTCAGCAGGCGTTTTGCAAACTGTTCACCAGGCGTTTTGTACGGATCTGGAGAGGCTCTTCTCTAAGAACAGTTCGCAAAACGCCTGGTGAACAGTGATGAAATAGTCCACATCATCTTTAATCGAAGGTTTTCTCTAACTGACGTCGCTGTTGTTCCAAGGTTCTACACGGGTTCGAACCATCATCTCTTCTGCGCTATATTCTACTTCTCAGTTCCTGGAGAAAGCTGTTAATTCTGAGAAACGAAGCCCTGAAATCTTCGTCAACTGGGACCACTTCGCTTCCCTTGCGAGTGAACGGAAAGATTCTATTTTCGACAACCCCATGAAGAATACAACCGGCTTTTCACACAACATCTTCACGATAGAACTAGAAAAGCAGCTCCAAGAGACGACTCTCTTTCAAGACTCTCGAGCTGATGCGCCAGCGTGCAATCGCGCGGCAGGCATTCACCACTAAACGGCGAAACTTGCGAAGCTATGCAGAGGAGCGACAAAGGAAAATTTGAAATAGAGAAGATCATTATGTATTGACTAAGCTGCTAGAATGTGTAAGAGCATTCCAATGCCTACCAGGCTTCGTCAGTTGCCTGACCGAGATGACTTCCCTTCGTCGTCTTGATGAAACAGTTATTGAATCTCGAAGGGCATTGGATAAAGTCATCAACGACTATTACTCGCATCTCTTCGACAGCCATGCCTAACTGCCCACCTAGCATCTTAGGCAAGACGATTATACCCTTCTTCGGTTCTCCCTTATGGCATGCCATCCGTCGATGAAAATATTCTACGGCGCCTGTCTTAATAGGATCAAACTAGGACACAACTTTTCCAAAAAGAAAGTCTGCCACCAATTGTCGTCAGAATCTGGCTAGGTTCTTCACGTGGCGCCTTTCGGAATTCAAAGCACCCATGTTCAAGAAAAGTGTTGCTGTATAAGAAGGGAGATCCCGACGATATTGGTAACTATCGCCCAGTCTGCCTGCTGTCTCTAAGCTACACGCTTTTCAAGCGCATCGTCCTGAACAGGATCGGCAGAATGTTGGATGAAGGGCAGCCATGCGAGAATGCAGGGTTCCTGAGAGGGTTCAGTACAATCGATCATATCGACACTCTCACAAGACTCATTGAAGTATCGCGAGAGTACAAAATGCCGTTATGTTTCGCGTTCATCGATTTTTAGAAGGCCGTTGATGCTGGAGATACAGCAGTAGTAATCAAGGATGCTACATAAACTCTACTACAGCTTCACGATCAGGATTTTGAATTTCTACGAGGAAGTCATTGCCAGTTTGAAGAGTGCGGAGCGATACCATTTTGCACAAACTTTTCAGAACCTCTTGCCGCTCTTGAGAACCTAATGCGTGATTTGGAGTCCGGTTTGCGACCCACCATAAGTGTTGCTTTTTGCCGCCTGCGATCCTACCAAATTTGAGCGCTCTAGGACCAAGTTTAAGTTTTTCACACAAATCCCGCCCCTTGTGAGCAGGGTCCGGTCCTACCACCCACCGTAAGTGTTGCTTTCTTGCCGCCTGCACTCCTACCAAATTTAAACGCTGTACAGCCAAGTTTGGGTTTTTCACACAAATCCCATCTTGACGGGTGTGGTGCGTTAGGAACGAAATGGTCGCGTCGCGGTGAGAGGGGCGTCGCGCGCGAAGGANTGTAGCTGGATGCAGCAGTAGGTAAGAAATACAAGAACAAAAGTACTAATAGTAGATTTATGCATAAAATAATGATCGCATATCGATTGAGCTGTATGAAGAACGCTAGAGGTGTAATAACGGCGAATGAGTGGTCCGTGAAAGCCGCGTGCGGCAAATCGATTACCCAAAATCGGTTCCTAACGCCCGTCTCCCCATCTTGACGCCTGTACTCGTGCGAAATTTGAACTTTCTAGGTCCGCAGGGACAGTAGTTATAAATTTCTGCCCAAACCCCACCCTTTGTGGGCGGAGCCCATTCCTGCCACCCATTATAAGCGTTCCAATCCTATCTGGGGTACTCCTACTAAATTTGGACGCTCTAGGTCCAAGGGGACTGGAGTTATGATTTTCCGCATAAACCTCGCCCCCTGTGGGTGGAGTCCGGCCCCGCCACCCATTATTAGTGTTCATATCTTGCCGCCTGTACTCCTACCATGTTTGAGCGCTTTAGGCCCACGGGGACAGAAGTTATGACTTTCGGCTCAAACATTTATTTCGCACAAACCCGGTCCCTGTCTGCGGAGCCCAGCCTTGCTACTTGCCAGTATTCCCATCCTGTCGCCTGTACTCCTACCAAATTTGAACTCTCTAGGTCGACGGGAACCGGAGTTCTGAATTTCCGATCAAACACACACACAGACAGACACACACACAGACACACAGACACATAGACACAGAGACACGCAGACACACGGACACACACACACACTGACAGACAGACAGACAAACCAACAGACACACTTAGCGCGTTAAATATAGTAGGATGACGTGACAGAAAAGGCCTTTCCCAGTCATCGTTCCGTCAGTTCTCAAGTAGGGCCCATTATCTTCAGCCAAGAGCATTGACTATCCCTGAGCTCTCGTCATGCTTGAGTGTCAGCTTGTATTTAAAACGGACCATTGGCGTTCACAGTCGGTCGTATTAGATATGTCCGAACCTGTATTGTTTTGTCCAAGGTCCTTTGTCCTTATCGATTTAAACCAAGGTGAGAAAATGGTATGTGGAAGCCTTTCTAGCTTGCCTATGTGTTAAATCCAGGAGCAGCCATCACTTGTTCTGAATTTCGCAGCAATGCCAACAACAAAGAAGTCACATCAGTTGGTGCAGACGTGATGCTTTTTCTTTGTCCACCGTCTCTTCCCTTTCCAGCATTATGTTACAAGAAGCATTGGGACCGAGAATCTCCGGCAAATTGTCGAGGTTGTTATGTAGAACCATCAAAATTCTTGCTATAGTATGGCCATCGATTCCAAATGTTTTTCCGAGCATCGCCGCAGTGGGAAACTTCTGCTATTTGGCTACATTTTTAATGTATCAGCGGTGGTATATGTCAGAATGTGAAACAAGAATACGTGGCAGCGTGCGAAGAATTTTGAAAAGTGCTCACTCCAATGACAGATTTGCAGCCGCAATGAAAATCTTGTACATCATCGTGTAGCTCTTTTTGTTTTTCGCGGCAAAGTAGTGTGCTTCGGTCAGGACACTCCATGTGTGGACACCGCTTACAAAGTAAAACATTATTGAACTCATTTGGGAAAAAGTAGAAAGATTTCTGTTTAACCGAGTTCTTCTAAGCGCTTTAGTATGTGGAACCTCTTTATCAATGTCTACAACAATTCACCTTTTTTTACTATCTGCCGTGTAATAACGCAACCGGTTCTAGAAGATTGAGGAATGTCTGGAGCGTCAGCGTCACTCTCTAAGAAAAGCAGTGGCGGACTCGATAGGTGTGAACTGTCCCACACTACAATTCCTGCCCGATCGGTCCAAATTAATGGAGCAGGTAATTTTGGTTTTTGAATTTTCAAATTCTTTGAATAAGAGTAATTTCTCGGATAGAATGTAGGAAAATGTTTCATCGGTGAAAATGTAGTTGGGGGGAGGGGGGCCACCCATCCGAAGGTCACTATATCAAGTAATGACGTCAGTGAAGCGCGTTATGTCGTGTTATATCACGGACATGCCAGTTTTCAAATGAGGGCTTTCGTAAGGAAGGAGCACCGCGGTGGACAAGTTTTCTTCATTTTTTCTTTTTTCTGCAGGAGGTAATCATCCCACCACCCAGGTGCTCCTACCCTACCTAGGCGTATTTGAAACTAAATTTCCTTAGCTGAAACCGCATAAAAGAGCTAGAGGTCGGTTCCCATCGTTCTCTACGCATCCGATACAGTGTTGATATGACAAGGACTAACACGTTAGACTGAGTTCATTTCTTGATATACTGACCTTCGGATGGGTCCCCCCCCCCCCCAACTACATTTTCACCGTTTCATCTTTTCACAAGGTTACTCTTGATAAATATCGAATCAGAATTTCTGCAGCCTGCGGATGAGTCACTAATGTTTCTGTTGAGTCGTTCATTGACTCTCTGCTAAAAACGAGATAGACCGTATTTTGAAAGTATCTTCCGAGAGTTGCCATGAAATTGTTGTATGAGGATGCTACCGAATAGGATGCGCACAACATATCGGTTTCCTTTTTCCTTGCTTGTAACGGCCGAACTGCCATACCGGACACATACTTCTATGCAGGTTCGAATCCTGATATACCGCCGTTGAAGTGAAAGTTATTGGATCGGAGGTTAGCTTCGATCTGATCAACCTATTGCGATATCCTCGATTATGTTGTGCACATGCATTCGGTTAGGGCCCTTTTATAGCGTTCTTACCAAACTACCGGAGTATTTTTGGTAGAATCCGAGTTTTTCTTGGACTTTACACAGATGCTTTCCGAACGCCCTATCTTTTTCTGTCAGGGTCTGATCAAATTCAATGTGTAAAAGGCATGTGTCAGGCAACGTTACGATATAAACAACAGTTTTCAACCGCCGAGGTAACAAAATAAAATGTTACCTAGACTTAGAATAGGTGATGGCCCAATTCCTGGAAGAGGAGCCAGAAGTTCAGGTTGAGCGGACCCAATCTAGATGGGAGGAAGTGGAGGATATTGTTGTATCATGATGTCACTTACTTCTTTCGGAAGTTGGGAAAACCCAGAGTCGTTTGAAAAAATTACCGAATGGGAGGTGCCCCATGGGCGTGGTGTGCGCAGAGATGATACTTACTTATACATATACGGCTCGTCTTCGCTCATGTGCGACTACCAGCAACAAACCACTCGCTTCTGTCTTTCACGATCCCCATCCATGGTAGACTCAGACTTCGACGAAGATGGTGATGTGAGCAGTTGTTCAGTTGCTTTCGCAGCTGTTACACGTGATCGGAGAGCACTTCCCCCATCTCACAGCAGGTCTACCCTTAGATCGTGAAGATCCTACGGCCGCCCACTCGGCTGTTCTTCTTCTTCTGTCATCACCCCTTCTCGTTATATGGCCGGCCCAGCAAAATTTTGCCTTGTTCATGTATTCCACCTTTTCGCGGAGTCGAGACATTCTACGCATATTGGAGGTAGTGAGTGAGCCGATCAAACCTCAAAAGACATCACTCTAGCGCTTTGTGATTGTGCTCAAAGCCTTTGACGTGGATTCCAAGTCTCCGACTCGTACAGAGCGCAGGAAGAACTTGGAATCGAACAGGTTAGCACGAAGTTCCCGGTCAGCAGATGGTGTGTGACCTCTTTCGAGTTCCGGAGGCTGCCTGCGCTATTTCGGCCATCTCTCAAGTTCTTTTCTCATGTCGTTCATATTTTTCATATTCTATATCCATGGAATCCCCGAGATAAACGGTCTCCTTGATAGGTGCGCCATAGATCTTGTTTGCCCTTCGTCAGCCCAAGTGTTCTTCATGAACTGTCTTTGTTTGGTTAATTCACAGCTCTACCTTCTTTTCCACTTTATTGAGCTCAGCAAGCATAGTCTCAGCCTCCGCAATGTTGCTTGAAAAGGGAACGTTGTCATCCTCAAAGCAGGGAGATTTGAACGGAACCGTTCACCCACATGAATACCCTTTTCGTCTCAATCTAGCGAATTCATAACCCACTGCAGCGCGGCTGTGTACAGCTTCGGCGCAATAATGTCGTCTTGTCTCGCACCCTATGGGAATGGGGAAAGGTCGTTGGAACTGCTCCACCTTCGCGCTGAAGCGACTACTGCAGTCAGCTAGCGTTTCTACGTGGCGAGGGTCCACTACTTGATTGACCAGTGCTGACAGGACCGCTTTTGTTTCCTGTCAGCACTGGTCGTCACTTCCAAGAGCTTTTCCATAGTCAACAAAGGTAAAGACAAGAGGCATTCGGAATTCTCGGCACACTTCGATGTGTATTGCGATGACCGCTTGGATGTGGTCTGAGCAGCTGAGTCCCTTCCGGAGCCCGACCTGATCTACAGGTTGAAGTCATCCAATGTTCATGATATGCGAGTAAGAATGGTCTTCGTGAGCAGCTTGTAAAGCACACTTAGCAAGCTTATCGGGCGGTAATTGCGAAGATCATCCCGGTCTCCCTTCTTGTGATGAATGACCATCTGCGAGTTCCTCCACTGGTTGGTCATCCTCTCCTCCTGGAAGTAGGATGCCATGTGTGTTGCGAGATGCGCATGAAGTTCGTAGCCACCTGCACGGATGAGATCTTGCGGGGGCCTGGAGTAGTTCCCCTTTTCATGTTCAAAATCGCAGTTCTCCCTTCCGAAGGAAGGATCCGAGGTGCTGTTCCGCCATGGCGGATTTTTGGTTTTCGCATGTGTAAGGTTTATCGATGCAGTTTGGTGTAAAACCTCCGTGTAACATATTCCATGTCAAATCTCGATGTTGTGAGTGTTCCTTCTCATTCTTCAAACACCGGAAGTGGAGTACTGTGGTCTGGAGGATCCGGTGGCATTTTTTCAGGATAGTTCTGTTCAGGGCTGCCTCCAGTGTTCTCCTCCCCTGGCTCGAGCTCGAGGTCTTGTCGCACTGCTTGCCTGCAGCTGATATTCGCTTGCAGCCTTCAAGTTATATGGCGTTCTGGTCAAGCATCAAGTTCCTTCTTGTCCTGAGAAGATCCTTCGTCGCATCTCAAATTCAAGCGGAGGTATTCACTTGAGCTCGGCCTATTCTGTACAAGTAAGGAGACCCCGAACCAGCCCGCCGTAGTCTTTGGTCGGGTCATCCAAGACCTGCCAGTATCGGGACGAGGCGTCATTCAGAACATCTTCGTCATATACAACTTTCTTCGAGCTCTGCGCGATGTTGAGAGATCTTTTTCAGTTTATGACTATGACTGAATTTGGTCTTATTGCGTAGTAGTCGATGATCGGAACCACTGCAAAAATATGGTACCACCCCAGCAACTAGTAAGCACCTCTTTCTGTTGGTTTATATGTGGACCAGTTCAGCATGAGTTGTACCGTTTGGAGACTCGCATGTCCAGCGGCGACGTTCCTTCATCTGGAAGAAAGAGTTACCATGGAAAAGTAGAGCCGCGCACAGGAGTCCAGCTTCCGCTCTCCTTCCTGTCCCCCATTCCGAGTTTTCTAATCCTGATCTCCTTTTGTGTTTCGCCAAGCCTAGCGTTGAAATTCCCAACAACGAGTTTGTAGGGCTTTTTGTTGTGGCTAATCTCCTCTAGTTGGTCGTGGAACGCATCGACAGTACTTCGCTAGCTGTAGAGTTTGGGGAGTAGCAGTTGACGGTAGAGGTGATCTACAAGTGCTTATGCCGTAAGCGTAAGGTGGCAAGGAGAGAAGACTGAACCTCGTGAGAATCGGCGACATGACGACAGATAGGTACACGACGAAACCAACGCCGCCGACCTTTCTCTAGAAGCTCCTCACTACGAATGATGAAGGTTCCACCATTCGTTGGTCGTACGTCGGTTCTCCTGCTCTTGGTTTCTTGCAGCGCTATCACATGCTACTTAATGTAGCTAGCTGCATCGAGGAGCTCATGGAGAGCGGCATTGGACGAGACTGTTCTCGCGTTGTAGGTATAAAGTAGGAAACATTCTCCGTGTCATGTGGAGGGAGTGCTGCCATGGTTCCAAATCCAAGTCGTCCTGCGCAACCCGAGATTTCTTTGCCTCTCACTGGTCACCATACCGTTCGACGCCGGAGACGGCTGGGCCCAGTGTACTGAGGCTATTTCATTGCTATTTTAGCAAACTTGAGATGATATGACGGAAGATTGTTAGAGTATAAGAAAAATGTTAGGTAGTTGGGGCGGAGTCCAATTTTTGTGATTCCTATCAATGCAGATCGGATTCATAGCGTTTTGTGCAATGTGGAAAGTGACGAGCGAGATAGAACTCTAGCTGGTAGACAGACAGACCATTGATAGAGGTAATTGCTTCGTTGCAACGCGCACAGCAGTGTGCGATGGCCAGTTTACTGAAAGGCCGAGGATTAGAAACTGAGGCTCTCGATGTTAATCGACCACTCCAAAAGATACCCTCTGCTCCCGACTATTTCGGTGTTGCAAATCATTGAAGTGTTTTCATAAACATCCTATAATCGGAACAATGTTTTCTCTGCTTTGCGAGACTTATATTATTAGGTCGTCTTGATCAGTGAATTGTTCAAACTGAATAGGTTTTCATCCGTCGGCGCAGTTGATATTGATATTTTTCTCTCTTAGTATAGGGCAGAGGCAAAGGGAGTTATTTATCCATTCATATATTAAATTGTTTATTTGGTGCAGGCCACGCTACTACAATTGAATGTACATGTTGTGATGGAGAGGTGATCTCCTCATATGATTAATTTGTTACAGGAAATGGACAGGTTATTTCAAATGGCTGACTATGGCATGGATTATCGAGCTGTAAGTCACACTGGACGGGTGCTGGGAGGAGCTGGAGAACCAAAGAGCTCACTCAAACCGCCTATTGATTGTAAAAATAGCGATAAAAAATAAAAGTGTGTTATCTAGCTGACCGAATGTTCCATTCATTACGAGAGGAGTCATGGTCGGGAGTAACTTAAACTGACCAAAACAAGGCGAAAAAGAAAAGCGGAAATTTCGTTTTCCGGTGATTTCGAAATCGTTTGAACCATAAAATCCGTCCGGAAAATTAAATATCCATCGTTTCTTACATAGAGACTCCTCTTCACTACGCTCTGTGATGGTGGTATGTTCTTCTTCTTAGACTTGCGGAAACATCTGCTGCATATCAAGTTTGCGAGAGTAGCCGATGTTCAAATCATTTTGTTTACACTAAAAAGAAGTCGGATGTCTATTTGTTACATATTTTGTGTTTTCGGATGTTCGAGTGCTGGTTGCCGCTACTCTAATATATCGGCAATGAATTAAGCACATCGATTTGATCGATAGAAGGAATTCATATGCGCATTTAGCAATTTGCCGAGCGTTTGCGGACGCTACCGATAAGTCTGTGGTCCGTGTCCCATTTATATTACCCCGAATTCGTGTGGATCCACCATCGGAACATCAGTCATCAGAAGTGAATCATCTGTTCAGCAAAGTGGCATGGAATGCCAATCCGACCCTATAACAAGAAGGGAAGCCTGGCGTAATCAGGGCGTTCCGACTGGTTGGGAATAGCCTGTACGTTATCGAATATGAAAAGGATAATCATGAAAGTAATGGAATGTAAAAATTCTATTGGAAATATATAAAAAGGGATTCATATATACTGAATATAGTCAGGTATCAAGATTACTGATGACCAGTATATGGAAGAGAACTCGTGTGCTAGCGTTTCTCTATCAGAGGTACTTGAAAACAAGCGTTTCCATTGTCAAATTCCTTGCTCACTCTGATCATAAGTAAAACTCTACTCATCCCTGTTGAACACTAACTTCAAACGGCTGAGGACGGTGGTTCATCTGGAGAAGGAAAAAAAAACGAACCATCTATTTCATTTGGAGAGGTATTTTGCCTAACTGCTTATTATTTTACATGCTTCACTATTTTAATTTCTTAT